ACCACCACTCTCTGCCCCAGCCTGGCAGCAGGGGCCAGGCACGTGCAGGGCTCCACCAAGCCGGATAGGCTGCAGCACCACCTGCCTTTGGCCTGACCCCAAGCCAGTAGCCCCTCACTGCAGCAGCTTGGCTGTGGGGCTGCAGCAGGGGCCTGTCCTCCCAGCGGCTGTGAATAGTGCTGAGCTGCATGGCCCCCGTGCTTTCTAGTGATGGGGACTTGGCTGCCCAGGCACCACACTACTCCTGTTAGCTGTGCCAAGGCAGGCTCGGGTGGGCAGCTCATCGTAGGGCCCTGCCTCCCACCCATCAGCTAGGCTCCAATTAGCACTCAGTAGCTCCAGTTCACACTCAGTGGTGTCCAGCCTAGGGCATGCTCCACTCATTGCCTTCCCCTGACGGCTGCAACTCTGGTTCTGTGCCAGCAGAGGCCCCCCCCTCCCCCAATCACCGGCTGCTTTGTGTCACTAGCTATGGCCCTGAGGGTGTCTCCAGCAACCTAGAGTAGTGAGTCCCAGCCAGGGGATAAATGAGGTGTGAGATGAGCAGATTAACTAAGCAAAAAAAACCGCAGGCTATGGCTTCTTCCAGGGCTGTGCCTCTTTGCAAGCAGCTAGACACTGACATCTATAGGTATGAGGCTGCATAGCCTTGAGTCCAGAAAGGTGTTAGCCTGAAGTCAAGCAGAAGGCAGCATGGATTTACACCTCATACACACTGTGCCTGGTTTATACATAGAAGTGCACCAATACATCGGTTCATATCCTATCGGCACCAATAAAAGGAAAATTGACATTATTGGCAATTGGCTGTTTTTGCTGATGTGGCCAATAATGTCACCAATAAGTGCTGTGTGCACGCGCGCAGCCACAGCATGCATGTGGCCAGGAGAGCAGCCTCCAGCCAGTTAGTCTATTGGGAAGGGGGTAGATTGAGACCCCCATGGTGAGGAAGGGAGTGGGACAGGGCACAGGACAGTGCAGGTGGGTAGCTCCCACCACTGCACGCATCCCCAGGGAGGCATGGGGGGCATTGCCCCCCCCCCAGTCTGTGCGTAGGATGAGCTGCCTGCTGCATGCTTGAGGTCTAGGCTGTTCCAGCCTTTTCTCAGCAGCTGTGGACAGGGTGAGCAGCACTGGTGCTGGGATGGGAAGCTATGGTGGGGGGCTAAATTTACCATAGCCCCCCTCCCCAGCATCACCTGCCCCATCTGGCCCAAGGACAGCGGCCAAGAAGAGGTGGGAGCAGCCCCGGCTCTGAGCACACAGCCCACCTTTGCCCCACGCACGGATCAGATACCCCCATGCCTCCCCCTGGGGTACGTGCAGCGGTGGGAAACCCCCTCCTTCCCCCCCCCCCCCCCCCCGCCGCGCCGGCCTGAGCTGCCGGCTATGGAAATGTATTCTATTTGTGAACAGGATCATTCCAGAACAAGTGTGCCTCATGCAGTTAACTCAGTGAATAAGACCATGTGCACAAGAGACTAAAACGCTTGGAATTTACATGGGAGTGAAAACTATTCCATTTATTGGAAAGCTAATGCAGGAGAACATGTGCATTATCCTACTCACTTTCTACCCAAAAACAGAGTCATTGAGTCCAAATATAGTTTATCCAGCAGCAAAATAAAAACCCTGACCTACCACTGCCTTGATCTAAAGTGTTTTGATGATTACAGATTTAATAGTAATTTTCTAACCAGAAAATTAGAGCAATGTGCTGTATCTTACATAAGAATTCACACTGAGAATTTTCTGGTGCACATACATAGTTAAGCTTACCATTCAATTACAGGTTTCCCTCGCTTTATGCAGGTTCTGCATGTGCGAATTCACTCTTATATGATGACCCTTTTTATACCAAAAATTCGTTATATGCAAGGTAAATTCACTCTTAGGCAATTGGTGTGGTAGAAGCCTGCAATCAGCTGCTCTGCGATGCATAGTGGGAGTGACCCACACCAAAATATATTCTGTGTGGATCTGTGTTTTGCACTTGTTGTCTGCGACATGTTTCTGTAGTTGGTAGCATTATAATAGTGCCCTGTGCTTGTGTGTACTGTCTGCTGTTGGCGAGTACCAAAACATCTTGTAAAAGTGATAGAAATGGGTCTGGGGGTCAGTACAATGGAGGTCTTGGAACATGTCCCTATTTGTTACATTGTAAAGTGGGTTCCCTTTATGCAAATTTGAGTTATGGGCCGTTTTCCAGGAACACATGTACTGCATGAAGTGAGGGAAGCTTGTATACATTATAGTTGCAAATAATACACCTCGGGCTTCTCCATGTCTAAAGGTCAGATTTTTTTTATGAAGATGGGTCCCTAAAAGAGGTTCAGAAGATTAACGAAATGTATGCTACTCTTCAGGAAGAATTGAAGGTGAGTCATTAAACTAAAAAAAAAAATAATTAAAAAAAAATTGTTGTCTGGTTTACGTTATGTGGTACTGGAAAAAGAAGTGCTCAAATGGGACTGGATTTTCATTTTTACAGAAATACCTTTACAGTAGTCTGGCAGCCCAAAGCTATTAAATAGATTTAAACATAAAATTGCACCCTGTTGTATTGCTACTAAATGTAAAACAGTCTTACTTATGAGTAATAAGCCTAGTGTAATATGTGCCAAGTTATGCAAATATAAAGGAATTGGAAGTCACACAAAAAAAACAACAATGCCTGCTTCCACGTGATCTCCCAAAACAAACAACAAAATGAATTAATGTGATCCATTTTAGTTTCTGTTACTGACATGATTTTCAATCACAGTACTGAAATGACTCGAAACAGAAACTAACAGCCGTTAAGTTGTCATCCACAAGGTTTAACAGAGCACAAGAGACCCGCATGTGAAGGGAGTACAGAAGTGAAAGGGCACTGAAAAGCTTACAAATCCACATATAGTTTTGTTTTAAATCTTGACATTCATATGTAGGAAACTGGCAATGGAAGGAAGGAGGAGATTAAGCTAGGAATTCTCTGTAAAACTTGACTGTCCATTTTAAAAAGGTTTCTAGTGATTAGAATTAAGAGAATGAGTTCTTTTCATTTTTTTCCAGATATGAAAATAATCTAGTTAAACAACAGCCACAGTTTCTTTTCAGGTCATACCTTTCTCAAATAGCAGCAGCTGAGTCTGAATTCAACTTGTTGCTCAATACAAGCCTACAACTTCTCCCACAGTGCAGGGTGGTTTAGAGATAAATCCCATTCTTACAAAAAGGGGGGAATCTGAAAGCACTCTCAAGTATGAAGGGTATCTATTGTTGTTATTTCAAACTCCTATGATAAAACACAGCAGTTTTCCTTTTCTTTATCCTACTTATCTGCAGAAAAATATGATACCAAGCATATCCAAACTAATCTTAATGAGAAGCAAGGATGGTTTTGGTGACATCTTTTTTTGAACCAAACAAGCTTTCAAGCACAGAATACCTTATTTCAGGTTACTGTTTCAAAGCTTATCAAAACATCTCTTCCTTCAACTATACAGTCAGTTCAATAAAAGGCATCACCAAAAAAAAGAAAAGAAAAGTCCCCTCACTTATCACCTATTTCCTGGACCATCACAGCTACAGTGACACTCCAGCCTTTCTACAGATTAAGATTGGTCTTTCTACACATTAATTGTACTTTGGAGTGAGTGAACAATAATGTATTCACATGGAAGACTGGGTTGTTTGGCTGTCATTACAGGAACTATGAAAGTTTTTGTAGTAGATGTGACTTCTGTGATTGAGGTAGTAGATAAGCCTTCTAAATGGGTTTCCTCTCAGTTTGGGTATCACCTAAAACTGAATTGCACAAACTTTAGTATCAAGTAAAATCATAGTAATGCTTCCATGTACTTGAGTAATGATTCAGTGTAAAATCATGAAGGTTTAGAATTTGAAGATAGCGACATGTGGAAATTTTGCAAAAGCAAAACTGGTAACAAATTCATTCCCACTTTCTAAAATTATCGAGTGACTACATTACCTTTATAAAAACTGACCTTGGAAAAAATAAGTTAGTGGTTTATAAATGTTTATTTTTTTATCATAACTAGATGCCAGAATTAAAGATTGTTAAAGAACAGTCTTTTTTTAAAAAAAAAAAAAAAGGCAACTCAAATCTGTACCCTCTAAAATACTTTCAATCCTTAGAAAAGTAATATGTAGATAATAGATTCTTTATTTAAAGTTCTTTATAAACTACTATAGGAAAAACCATTATTCCTAGTCTATTAAAGTATATAAATGTGCAGGCCGGCTCCCGATCTCGGGGGCAAGCCGGGCCCGTCTTTGTGCACGCAGGCTGTGGTCAGCAGCCCGGGCACGCGGGGCCGGAGAAAACCGCGGCGCGGTATGGTACGCTCAAGCTAGAATCAGTCACGGAGGCGTAATGGTTGATTGAAAAGATTATTTACTTACACCCAAGGTGGTCGCGGCGTAGGCTGGTCAGCTTTCCAGGCACAGCTCCGCTTGAGTTCTCAGTGGAGGACTCTAATAGACTCGGTTCCTTGACCCCGGAGTGGTTTAAGCTCCGCGGGTTTAACAATTCTATCTCACGGAGCAGCTGAATCTCCGTGGGTTTTACTCAGTTCCCAGGTCCCCCGGAGCTGTTAAGACTCCGTGGGTTCTACAATTGGGTCCATAGGAGGGATATGTCTAGGATTGCGGTCGGCGACGGGGAGAGGCTAGAGGTTGTGCGCCTCGGAGTTGTTAAGGCTCCGAGGGTTCAGAAATTAGGTCCCCCGGAGTTGTTGAAGCTCCGTGGGTTCAACAAAGTAAACCTCTGTTGCCCTCTTAAGGAAAAAGCTGGGTTCGAAGGGATCAGCAGCGCTCACGTGTGCCTATATTAAGACTGGCCAATAATGTGGCGGAAATCTTAATACAAATGGCGGGAACTTCCTTGTACCGTGCATCACCATAATGCAAAAGAAATGCACGATGCAAAGAAGGCTACAAAACTGGCGGGAAAAACTCCTGCACGCAGGTTCTTAATTGCAACAGAACACTCCACCATGCAAAAGAGCTGCAATTTAGCGGGAACACAATTTAGCAATGCCGAAGCGCGCACAAACAAGAAAATCACAACTTTTGGGTTGTGACGTATAATAGCACCTAAATCTCTGGAAATAGTCATTCAAATTTGTCTGGATAAGCACAACAAAAAGTAGTTGTTAAAATTGTTAAAAATAGTAGAACAAGGAGTAGTAACATGATATAGTATATATACCTACACTATATATACACATACAGTCCAGAGACTAGTCTTCCAAGGAAGTATGTCCTGTTTCTTGGAATTTCAGAGATTTCATAAACTTCATAGAAATTAGGGCTGGAAGGAACCTCATAAGATAATTGGGTCCAGCCCCCTGCCCAAGGGGCAGGAAGTCAGCTAGGGTCAAAGGATCCCAACAAGATAAACATCCAAATGTTTCTTAAAAGTGTCCAGAGTAGGTGCTTCTTGGGGGAGTCTATTCCAGACCTTGGGGGCTCAGGCACTGAAGAAGTTTTTCCTTACGTCCAGCCTAAGAGAGTCTTGCAAGAGTTTGTGACTATTGGACCTTGTCATCCCATGGGGTGCTCTGGTGAGCCAGGTGTTCCCACAGATCCTGATGCATGCCCTTTACGTACTTATAGGCTGCCACCAAGTCACCCCTGAGCCTGCGCTTCTCCAGGCTGAAGAGTCCCATGGCTCTCAGCCTCTCTTCAAACAGCCTCTTCTCCTGCCCTCTGATCATGAGCGTGGGCTCTCCTCTGGACTCTTTCCAGCTTCTCCACATTCTTCCAGAATTGTGGAGCCCAGAATTGGATGCAGTACTACATCTGCGGCCTCGCCAAGGCCGAGTACAGTGGGAGGATGACATCCTGGGTCTTGCTCAAGATGCGTTGGTAGATGCAAGCCAGAGTTTTGTTCGCTTTGCCAGCTGTGGTATCGCATTGGTGACTCATATTCATTTTGTGGTCAATCATGACCCCCAAGGACTCTTCTGGCTGTGGTAATAGCAAGTGTAGCACTGCCGGGCCTATAAGTGTGAAGCAGGTTACCCCCCACTTCCTCTCAGAGGTGGAACACCTTGCATTTCTCCATATTGAATGCCATCAGGTTTTCATCTGCCCAGCTTATTGAGGTCAGCCTGGATCAGCAGCCTATCCTCAAGTACGGATACGCTTCCTCTTTACAACTTAAAAATCTACTATAACAAACTATCTGTGACTAGAAATTAAAGATAAAGTATTTTTCAGTTATTGTTTGCCATTTCAATAGTCTTACTGTTCAGTACGTTTTCAGCGTTTTGTATTACTATCCTCAGTTTTATAATAGTGGACTGTTTTTTAACAATTTTGTATAATGTTTTGTTAAACTGGAAAAAAAGCTTTTTTAAAACTATGCACTTAAAGTTTAATAAATTATTACAATTCATCATTACAAATGACTCTCTCTTGCAGAAAACATGCACTAAAGTAGAAGTTAGTGAACGAACAGTAGAGAAACTCTTAGCAGAAGTAGGCCAGCTGAAACAAGAAATAAAAAGGAAAAAGGAACAGATACAAACTTCAGGTAACATGAAAAGATTTTTAGTTTCATTAAGAGGTTTTACATTTGTGTGGTAAAACTTGTCATCTTAATAGTTAATATCACTATTCAAAATAGTTATTTTCACCTCTAGGCCTCTGCTGCTCAACACCACTGGAGAGTATTTTCCACTGTCCTGATGGGGGGGGGGGGGCTCCTTTGGCCCCCGTGGGGGTTTTTCCGCTGTAGGTCTCTGCTGCTCCTCCACACGACTGGGGGGGATCTCTGTTGCACCATAGGGGGTCTCTGTTGCTCCATAGTGGGTCTCTGTAATCCCCCCACCCCACTGTGGGTATACCTCACTCCTCTGTCCTGCCAGGGGTTTATAATTGTCCTCCTCAGGTTGCCAGCGAACCCCAGATCTGAAAGGTCCTTTCCTGTGTCAGTGGGAGGCTCTGGGATTTTTTTCCAGCTGTGTTCACTCTATGAGGCCAGCTGGGATCTGGGAATTTTCACCTTTAGGTGAAAATAGCAAAAAATATAAATCAATCTTTCAGGCTACATTTATCCTACTGGGAAATATTTCCCCACAATGGAAAGTTGAAGGGACTATATTAACAAGTTACCTACAGCTGTAGTTTGCCACTATATATTAAGCTTCAACCTGCAGAAATTAAAACTGTACTTATAAAAGTCACTAGCAATCTGACTATGTACAGTATTCCAATGATATATTTGCTAACCATTGCATTCATGGAAAATACCATGGATACTCAAGTTTATCCATCAGCATGGAAGTCACTGCTTTTTGACACCTACCAAAAGGGAAAAGTTGAATAATTCCTTGTAGTTGCATACCTTTTACTTCCTTTGAACTTCTTATCAAATTCAGTGACCTATACGATAAGATCTAGAAATAGTTTTTAAAAAGTCACCTAAAAATTACAGGAGATAAGCACATGAGAGATTGCTGGTTTAAAGTAATTAAACCATTGTTTCTCTGTTTTATTTTTAAATTATTCAGGTGAGAACAAAAGTGGTTCCAATGAACCACCAGAGAATATTTTCCTTTGTCAGGCTTTACAGACATTTTTCCCATATTCTGGACTGCAGACCTGTATTGTTTCTTTACAAGGCAGACCAATACTTGAACACTGCTGTAACACTGACCACAACATTAACATAACAGACAAACTGACACTCATGCTAGAAGACAGTGACTTCCCTGAAGCAGGAACGAAGCAGTTGACTAAGCGTAAAGCTAGAGGGACCACAGCCGGACCAAAATCATTAAAGAAATCACGGCCATTGAAACTCCATCAAAAACTACTTCAAGACGACCAAGAGGACAGTGACCAGGAAAGGAAGATTACACTAAGTGGGACTGAAACAGATGAGGAGGCACTGGAGAAACTGAAGGAGACTGATGAATATCCACATTCACCAACTTTCTAACCATTTCACACCAAATGTGAGATATTCCAAATGATTTGCTGCACCAAAAGCCACTGCCAATATATTTACAGTGCTTTATCAACCAGGAACATTACGGGACAAAAACTAAATGTAGTTACATTTTGTAACGTTTTTAAAATTTAAGATTTTATTTTGTTTAAAATGCACGTATTCTACTTTTGACATGTGGAGTGGAGTCCAGATTATATTCTCTTCCTCAAGGTTTACACTGGGAGGAAAAAGTAATGAAGCAAAGACTGAAAGTATACACAACACTGAAATTGGGACATAACACACAAGCAGACATCACACTTGCCTCTTCAGGTAACTGGTGCTGAAGAAAGCCAGTGCCAGATTGTAAATTATATGATATCTGCCACTGTGCAAAGCCTAGAGAACCAAAGCTACTAACTGGATTGCGTTATTCACCTACACTGCAATTATCTAGTGTCAGTATACTAGAAACAGCAGATGAGAGGAAATGCAACAGCTTGTTTTCCTCACGCTTCAAGTGAGACTCCTCCTGCTTTACAGGATTAATTTTAGTGTAGGAAGTGACACGCAAGTTTTTGAAAAGTTTATGGCAACTTTTAAGTTCTCATTATTGTAGACATGGAGAACTCAGAGTGTTCAGTTTTAGTCTGTTTGCTCAGATAGTAACAGTAATGCAAAACACTTGGCATCCCTCCATACAAAAAAGAGATGGGGGCATCCGTTATAAAAACAATGTTAGTGTCTTAAATCCAACAAGTTTATGGTATTAATGAGTGCATAAACATGAATTATAAAATAATTTTATTGTTGATTTATGGACACTTTAGCTAACTTATTCTGGATACTTGATATTGCAAAGCTTTGGGTCATTGCGAAATGATGGGTCCTTGTATACAACCGGCATAAACCCTGGAAAAAAAAATCAGATTAGTTTCTACATAGGGAAAAAAAAACAGTTATCTCCAAAAATTAAGTTCACAGCTATGCTTACCAAGTGCTTGTGCTCTTTTAATACCTTTTGAAATCTCTTTCTGTTTCTTGTCACATAACCCTGTAAAGGCAAAGAACTGATTTTTAACAGCTTATCTCAGCAGCTCAAGCTAATTTGCTAATCAGTGTCTAAAGTCTAACTAGCGAGGACTCCTGCAGGCTTTTATAAAAACTCTGTGTGTCAGTCTACTTACACAAAATTATTATATGGAGTTTCTCCTCCCAAATCATGAAGTTTCTCCAGTTGCATGTTATTTACTAAGCAGATTCATATGAATTTTTATATTAAGATTTTAGCTTTAAGAACCCTTCGGATAAACGACTATAACAAATATTATTTGTTGCTAAATTGATGCAAGACTACATTAGACTTACCAGTTATGTGTCTTCCATGTATGCAACCAGTATATGGAGAAACAAACTGGGACAGAAGCTATTGAAAAAGACAGAAAACATTAGTGAAAATTTTCCTGAAAACCAAACAGGTAACTTTAAATATAAAAAGTTTTATTGTAAAAGTTGTATTCTAACACCATCATATCCTTCCTATTTCAAGACATCATAACTTACCTCAGAAAATGTCACAAGAATAACCTACTGCTTTTCAACCAGAATTTAAAAACCACATACACTAATTTGATGTTCATATTAAAGTTTATACCAATATAAAACCTAAATAGTCAATACATTAGTCCAGCACTCAAGTTAGGAAGTGCCAGAATTAAGTCTGTCTTTGCAACCTTAGTAGTTCTCCCTGTGCATAGGCATTTGGCTATTTTTAATTATGTGATCATACTTTTTTTCCCTGCTCCTGCTCTATTCAGTGCAAAGCATGGATTGAAGCTCACTAAATGGTAGCTTAAGTTTTCAGTATTTTTGCTCCTCCTTATTCAGTGTGGTCTTATGTATTTATTGTATCCCAAATCCAACTCCAAATAGAGAATTATTTGCTTCTTCATATTCCATTGGGCTTTACTAAAATAATTTCAAAAAATTAAAATCTTCAACACCTCTTGAAGCTCGGTGGCATTAAGTCCCCTACTTCTGTACACAGGAACTGAAACATGGGCTAAAATAAGTGTCTAGTACAGGGGTGGGAAAAATGCAGCCCACCAGGCCGTTCTATCTGGCCCACAGGGCCTCTAAGAAAACTAGAAAATTACTATTTATCTGCCCCTTACTGCCTGTCATGCGGCCCTCAATGGCTTGCCAAAACTCAGTAAGCAGCCCTCCGCCCAAAATAACTGCCCGCCCCTAGTCTAGTAATTTTGGACAAAATTTGAGAATTTTTATTTCACTTACAGTTTTGTTCAGAACACAGAATGGCAAATTCTCAGCACTTGAGTGAGATACTGAACATCTCAAGTTGGAAAAAGTGTCCATCCTTGGCCAGAGATGCACAAGGTTACTTTAGCAGAAAAAGGAAAGAGTTGTAGCCTGCACAGCAGCATTCAACTGCCTTGCCTGTGAAAGCATCACTTCTGCCTCACTTGCACCTTTCAGCTTCTGATACAAATGAGGCACGTTATTACAGGCAACAGCATCAGGGGAAAAAAAAGATGACCCTAGGGCTCCATGCAAAACTAGTATGCAATGATTAACTCTTTGCAAAACAAAAAGAACAGCTGAGTCAAGCTTGTGAGTTCCCTCCTAGACACTGTAAGATAGTATGATCTACTGGTTATACCCCCATCTTATGTCCACTTTCGGCCCTTATTTCCCTGCTCCCTCTCCACTTCAAGGCTTCTATTCCCTCCTTTTGCATCTTTTAGGCTGCTTCCCCTTTCCCCTCTGTACTCTCCAGGTATCAGCAGAAGAAACATAGATTATAGGATAGACTGTAATCAGTTCAACCAAAAAGGCTTAATTTGGCAAAATTTTAAGAATTACAAATACAGTTATGGAAAACATCACGCAAGCTTAGCTGTGGAATATAAGTGTTTCTAAACTCACTATTTTGTTACACTTTCAACATGTTAACTCTGCAGACAAGTCAGAGGTGCAAAGGGGTTGGCAGTCCAGCTAACAACACACTTAGCCATAGGTTTTATAAATACTGAAACCTTTCATGCGTTGTAATTATCAGCTTGCATTTATGAGGTTTTTTTCATAAAACACTATGCCCTTTCCATTTCCATCCATTTACTTGGTTTTACTTACTTTATTAGTAACCAGACTAACTTCCTGTAACAGGCTACCATATTAAGCTCTTTACATGTTCTGAATGTCAGGACTGACCCACAAAACTAGTCAGGGTCAGATTTTCTAGTTAGCATCTACAAGCATTCTAGGATATTTCTTTCTTTAACTGCCCATTAACAGAGAGGGTGATCTTGTGCCTGAATTGACCCAGAACTCTTGCCACCATAAAGAGTATTCTAGAAGAGTCTATCTGGATTTATATTTTTAATGTCATCCTATAATGATGACTGTGCCTGTCAACAATGCAGAGGAAAACAAACACATGGTCCATTTCTCTTCCTCGCTTTTAACAGCATCTGCAGCAATTCCTGGAGGTAGTGCAAATGGAATAGACAATATAAGTATCAGCCACCACATACTGTCCAATTTTATACCTTTTATTCCTAGGCTACTCCCCCTAGTCTTAAATTCCCTCCCCCTCTTTCTTCAGCATACCTCCTAAATAGCATGTTCACTCCAAAATAGAGACCAAATAATTGCGGCACAAATCCACTGTAAAGAAACTCACCTGTACATTTTTGTAGTTTACATGTATGCCACACAAGACACATTTCTTAGGAGGCTCCTTATATGGATTTTCCATTTGTATCAGCTAAAATAAGAAATAGATTACCATTCTTTCACAGTGAAACATCTCTCTCAATTACATGGCCACATTCTAAAGGTAGCATTCTCTAGCTTTTCACTTCACTTCTCCAGAGCATAAACATTTTGTAAAGCTGAAATGAAGACTTAGCAAAAGCACATGCCATTAGACCGTTTTCCTTTGTGAACTCAGACCTTTTCTTTCTTGTCCTAGAATCTGAGAAGCCACCACATTACTGAACAATGCATTTAACAAAATACCATCTCTCTTCCTTCCCAAATTATTGGAGGAATAACTTCTAATATAATAAGTTTATTACTACTATAACAATGGCTAGTAAGGAAGTGTGTTCCCTGGTCCATCCTGAGCACTGAAGGACAATTTTCTCGACTTATATAACATTGGGTGTCATCTACGTAAAAGATGAGTTCTTACCACACAAGCCATATTCTTGTTCTTTATTCTAGTCATAAAAAGAAAAGACCGCATATCTATGTACTAGGCCTGTGCGAAGCAGCAAATATTCGATTTGGATTCAACTGATTCAGAGGGACAGTGATTCGAATAACCGTCCCGATTCAATTCGTCCAATCTAGATCCGAAGATTTGTCCATAAACTAAACAGGCAGCAGTCCTCGAGGACACTGTGGACACAGCTGCCTCCAGCTGGTAAATCTGTTGTGGTGGGCAGAAGGAAGAGATGTGGGGGAAGGGGGACAGATCAATGCCCCCACAGCGAGGGAGGGAGGGATTGGGGCTGGGACCGGGGTAAGCTGCCCAGCTCGGGGGGGAAACGGGACTCGGGGAAAGGGGCTCCTGCCACTGCGTGCCACCAGTCCAGGAGAACATAGGAGTGGGTGTGTGCCCCTGGATCTGCGCAGTGTGGGGTGGGCTGGGCCAGGCGGCGCTCCAGATGGGTGGTGGAAGACACTGGGAGTGGGGACTCTGTCCTGCCGCTGCTTGTCCAGCTGGGGTAGGATGCACACAGGATGCGAGTATGGCAGCACTGAGAATGGGGGCTATGCCCTGCTGCCGCTTGCCCAGCCGGGGCGATGTAGGTGTGGCTTAATCTGGGCAGAAGGAGCTGGGAGTGGGGGCTATGCCCTCCTACCGCTCAACCAGACAAGGCAGGGAGGTGCAGGATGCTGCCGCTATGCTGCCTCAAACAAGCAGTGCGCAGTGGCAGAAGCTGCTACAGCCTCCTTGCGTCTTCCGGACAAGCTGCAGCTTCACCTCACTGTGCCCTGGCTAGCCGAGCAGCAGGAGGACGTGGCAGTGGGTGCACGCACCCACATCGGTGAGGGGCCAGTGGCAGTGGCTATGGCGAATTTTAGGGTGGCTGCAGCCCACCCCCATAGCCCCCGCTCCACTGGGCTCTGCAGGGTGGGTAGCCACCGGTAGCACAGCCCTGGCTCCACCCGCCCTGCAGAACGCTGCCTGGCAACAGAGGCTAGCCTCCTGGAGCACAGCCCGGCCCAGCCTACCCTGCGCAGATCCAGGGGCACACGCCTTCTCCCGTGCCCTCCCCAACTGGCGGCACACAGCAGCCCCCCTCCCCAAGTCCCGGCTGGGCAGCTTGTCCCAGCCCCAATCCCACCTCACTGTGGGGGCATTGATCTGCACCCCCCTCTTCCACCCACCACAACAGACTTACCAGCTGAAGACTTACCATCCTCAATTGAATCAGCTACCAAAGCTTCACACAGCCCTTCTGTGTACCCTCTCCTATTAAAAAGGGGGAACACCCTCAACTTACTTTTAGAATCCACTATACTATCAAAAGTCTTGTCATTAGAGCCGTTTAAAGCAATTAATGGGTGTTCTAGGAAGTCCAGGTAAAGTTTCGCTAGCCTTTTTTTTTTCCGGGGGGGGAAGCAGCACAGTGAGTGAACCAGACCCTTGAGCCTTTGAACATCTCCCCACTTATTTGCTCTGGATTCCAGAAATACCAATCACTGGCAAAATGCCACAAATTAAAAGTGAATCCAGCAAGATAAAATATAGTTTTAGAATTATTTTAACCCATATTGTTACTCTATGGACCTACAGTATCAGAAAGCACTATGACACCATGCTGCCCACATCTACTTACAACATACGTGGTATGTAGAATATATCTAGAATACGCATATGTATGGAACTAATATATACAAGTGCTTTAAAGCACTAGGAGAGGTTAGTTATCTGCTGATTCTTTCGTAGCTTAAATAGACAGATATAGATATAGCTTCCCCTTACTCTTACATACGTTGCCAACTTATCACCCCAAGGGCTTCTTGAGGGGGGTTTTTTGTTAATATCAAAGTATACACACATGCTTTTTTCCTTTCTTAGCTTGCATATATCTCTAGATCAAGACAAAAATACATATATCAAGATATCCTGATATAGACAGACAGAGAAGCTAAGAAAGGGAAAAAAAGAGTGCATGTGTGTGTAAAATAAATAAATAACTAAATAAAATCTCAAAGGCTGTTTATACACATGCTCCAGGAGTGTGTGGGCAGGAGGGAGGGAGGCACTTTAGAGTGGCTCCTAGAACTGGTCTAATTAAAGTGCCTAGACTGTCTTGTGTATCAGCGTCCCCATGCATAAAAATGGTAGTGGGGTGTTTTAACTAAAGCTTGTCGAATGATCTTCAACTAAAGCCCTCCACTGCCATTTCTCAGCGCACAGGGACACAGATACACTGTAATTACAGAGCATCAGAGCAGATTTGATTAATCAAGTCTGATGGGGCATGGTAATTGCTGAACTCCAGCATGTTGTGCATCTGAGCAGCCTCACTGCTCACATATAGGTCCCAAGAAGCCCATGGGCAAAATGTTGCCAACACACCTAAGAGTAAGGGGAAACTTCTACATACAAATATAGGTATTTCTCGATATATATCTACTTACATATCTGTCTACGCTAAAAAAGAATCGGCAAATAATTAATCTTAGTTCTTCAAAACCTCCGAGCCATTCATTAGCAACGTCAGCAACAACAACCATGTCTGTTCTCCAACAAAGCAAGACCGTGCGCCCTCCAAGAGGAATCAAGAACTCTGGGGCATGCCCAGGGCCTCAGCTCTCTGCTCTATAGCACCCACAATACCTACCTCAAAAAGCATCAGGAAGCTCATTTAGTAAAACCGCCAGAGTTTTGCATAAGGAAGCATTCAGGAAAGACACCCTGCCCACCCTAGAATAATCTAAACGCAGAACAGCAAGGATCTCTTGGGGCACTATCTTGTGCTACCACGTGACTAGCACACAGCGAGGTGAGACACAACAACCTGCAGCGTGCAGCCGCCTGAGCCCAGGCACGAGCAGCAGGCGCTTTTGCAGCTCTGTGACAGTCCACAGCGGATAATCCACAGCCGCCTCCAGACGCGCGCGAAGCTGACGCCTCTTACCAGATCCTCTGTGCGAGTCACGGGCTCCCGTCGCGAGCAGCGCCGCCTCTGCCACAAGGCTCCTGGAGTCAGAGAGAACAGAGCAAGCCCAGTTCCGCGATCACAGCCTTCAGATAGCGCGGTGGCGGCTGCCGGACCGGGCCCCAGGCGGCCCATGACCGAGGGGCCGGCTCCCACCCGCAGGCAGGACGCTAGGAGCAACCTCAAGAGACACGCAGAGGCGCAAGGCCGCCCAGGGCCCACACCCGCCGCTTCTTCTCTCACCTGCGCTGGGCGCCAGGCTCCAGCAGAGAAACCCCAACCTCCGCGGCACCGCAGCCACAAGAGCTGCCATCTTCTTCCTTCCGCCCGGCGCCCTTTACCACTTCCGCTTCCGGGGACCTCGCAGGCACATGCGCAAATAGAGCCTTTCCCCCTCTTTCCGGCTTCACGAACTGGAGAACGTGAACTACGCTGCTCTTTGGTTTCCCGCCCCGCCATCTAATCGCCACGGGGCTCGGCAGCCAACAGCAACGCGAGCAGCGCGTCCTTCCTCCTTTCCCGCTCGCGTTATCTTTCAAGTCCGAGGCGGAAGTAACGTTGCCGGGCTGGGCTCGGCCAGAAACAGACCCTTTTCATCTCTTCT